CGAGACCCTTGAGGTAATCTGAGGAGCTTTGGACCAAAACGGAATAAATCCACTATAAACGATTTTTGGGAAAACACGATTTTCCAATTGCACAAAAAAATACAGGTTTTGTTCGTTTGTTTCGTTAAAACAATACTATTGAAGACGTCAATAATAATACATCTTTTGCAATTATAATTTTGAAAATGATTTTTATTAAAAATATGAAAAAATAATTGATTTATTCAGCTTAGATATACCAAACCTTCCCACTGGCAATTCATTTGTTTGGAATGCCTAATTGGTTTGTACAAAAGCCATCCATGATAAATATTAATAGTATTCTTCGATAATTATTACCAGGAAAAACCAAACTGTGGTCTATTTTCACAAAAATAATTTTATTTTGGGAAAGATTATTTCGTGAATATCTACCATAGTTCGTTTTTCCTAGTGAAATTAAGAATATTTTTTCAAAACACCAACATAAAAATAATACTAAAATCGAAAATATAATTTAAGTCCGTACCTGATGTACTGTAGCCAAAATTGTTTATATTGATTTACGGTTTTATTTAAGTAGATAAGTAAATCCTCATGAGATAATATCTGCCGTTTCTGAGGGAATTCCGTTTCGACTATACTCAAAATCGAGCCTAAATAACCGTATATACCTAATTCGAAAAAAATATTTGAGATGTGACGATACACCCTGTACCTAACTGACTATTTCAATTAGTTACCACTAATTAAATTATTTCAAGTCATGCTAATCGTAAATAAATTTAAAACTGAACGCTTAATATCACCAAATTAAACTGTAATTTACTTAACAATTCGATATTTAAATGGTGCAGGATAATATTCAACTCTATCTGGGAATAAAGACATTCGCTATCGTGGGAACTTCTATTTCATCTATTTCACTACTTTGGCAATTGTTGAAATTGCAATATACCCATCTTCGAATTTTTACTACAACAATCTGAACGATTTTATCGGCATTACTCGATGATCTTCAGAGTCGTGAAGCAATTTGTTAGGTACTGTTCGCAAAAAAATTCACTGGCCTTTTGCAGAAAAATAGGGATTCTAATTACATTGTTCAAAATATTATTTCATATGGTTGCATAAAATAATGACCACAATATCAATTAGAATTATTTAAAAATACAGAACATAATAAATGTAACACACAAAACAAACGCAGCTCTTGGAGTGGCCTAGAGAAATTCATCCTTGGAACCCTGGAAGGCTCTGTTGATTGTAAATTATTCCTACATTTCTTTATGAAAAATATACAGGAACAAAAGTGTAGCTTCTCTGATGTCTCCAGAAAAATTCAACTTCAATCACAAAAAAAGCACCAAAAATTCTACCTACAGGGTGGCGATGAAACGAGTTTATTTTATTATTCATATCTGTAATTACCAGGTTTTTACCTTATATCTAAAAAAAGTGGTCATAAGTTGATATAGGTAATGTAGCCGCCCACCCCCCAGTCGCTTCTTAATTATTAAAAAGCACGTATTTTTTAACTACCTCCCCTTTTATGAAATTCAAAGTAATTCATACTTACTGACTACTGTGCCTACTTGGCCTTTTTCCTGTAATAGTAGTAGTGATCGTCTAGTTAATTAATTGATAATTTATATACCCACGTTGTGACAAAGTTAATTTAGATAAACCAGAATTCGATGAAAAGTTTGGTACAAATTTGTGAATGAAATAAAACTCAAATTATATTTGTGCCCGCCCAAATAAACAGGCCACAGTCCACTTGATTCTTGAGGTTATACAGCAGACGTCCTCTGAATTGCACTATCTTTAATAATTGTTTTGTCGTTTCTTTTATATGGGTGAGCTTACTGGGATACACTCGTTGCAATAACAGACGGATGTCCCTTATGTTTCAGCCTCACCTAGGGGGGTTTATGTAGTGTGGTCCTACTAGAATAGGGCCGGATCAATACCAGCGAACTACCCCTTATCTTCGGATCTACTACGGCGCGAAGATTGAGAGATAATTATCTAAGATAGTTCAACCCTGCAGTAACATCAATCATATTCGTGAAAAGGTGAGTCTAGTCGCCCGATGTGTCATTTACCCCAATCAGCTGAGCTGTTAATTTAGTAGCTATTTGCGAGGGTGCATTGACATTTTGATATTTATTATTTATTTATTATTAGTGCAACATCGATAATCCGAATTACGCTAATCCGAACGCAAATCGTGATGCGAGATAGTCCGAACCGAACGCCGCTTCTGTAATCCGAATAATGGCAGGAAAAGACCTGCAGCGCGGCCCGCGTCGCCCATATGTAGTTTGATAGTGCATTTAAATGTACAAAAATCAATATACATACATATATCTAAAGGTCTAAAAATGTGTAAGAGGTGTTTTATTGTATATTCGTTAATCCGAACAATTCGATAATCCGAACAAGGTCTGACAATTAGGTGTTCGGATTAAAGAGGTTGCACTGTATTTATAATAGAAAAGTTGACCATAAGTGAGTGATATAATAATATGCATTATTATTCAATAATAAATCCCCATAATACAAATTTAATTTCTTTGTTTAAGTGTTATCGTTGGTTTCTATTTCTGATATATTAAATTGTTGCATTCGGTACGGAAGCGTTATCTTGTGTGGGGATATTTAGCCAGGAAGTAGACAAGTATCGGAACGTACGAACGTTGAGACGTAGGCGTCGGAATTTAGAGCGGCGTGACGAAGAGATGGCGTCGGGACGCAGAGCGTCGTATAAGAGAGAGCGTCATGGCGCAGAACGCCGGAACGTGGAAAGGTAGAGAAGTAGGGACGTAAAGCGTTGGATGGAATATTGGGCGTCGGGGTGTAGAGCGTCGGATAAAAGAGATGACGTCGGACGTTGAGCGTCGATACGTGATAATGTTTGGGAGATAGGTCGTCGGGATATAGAACGTCGATAGGAGGTAGTAGTATATGAACTGCGTGGGTTTAGGAAAGGTACTTGAATTATACTAAATTTAAAAGTAATGAATGACGGGTTTGAAATCAACTAAACTAAGTTTTATTTCTTAATGAATATCGGGTCCTTCGGGATCGGGTCTTTATACCCGATTTAATTACTTTTTTGACGTCAGTTTCTCGTAGCTCCGGTGGGAACGAATTTGGGTGGATAGAAAAGGGGTTGTCGATTTATTACTTGCCTTGAAAAATGTGTGTGTCGAAAATAATGTTACTATTCAAAACTGACTTAAGATACGTGCGTTAAATGTTTCAATGATTATTATTTCGTGACAAAATTTATGTTGTATGGTGGATTCGGTTGGGATCCCAAACACTTGCAAGAAAATTGGATCTCTTACGGACAGGGTTATAGATATTATTTATTAGGTGTCTTAAATAAGATTTAATTATTTGGGAGATTTTTCGTTAAATGAAGGATTTTGAATTTAATAAGAATGCAATATTTTCTTTAATAAATGAAATTAATAAATTATGAAGGTACCTAGATGCGGTAGGTTGCGGTAACTTTTATAAAGAAAATAATTTCCAGACCGTAATAGAATTTTTTCTTTGCAGTAAAATGAGCCACTTCGGTATTATTTAAAAGCACAAAATATGTTTCGAAAAATAAACGTTTTAATCTGATTTTTTTCTTCGAATACATCTACACGATATGAAACAAAAAAAAGTGATTTCGTCTATAAATATTTATTATTGTTATGTCCGTCGATGTTTTTTTAATGTTATTATGACTGCACCATAAGATGGAAACAGTTTAGATATTATCAAAGAACATTGATTTATTTCTAAATAACTTTTATACTTTATTAGTAGACCCAAAATCAATAAATATTTTGTAAAGAGGTGTAGCCTTTTTAAAAAATGGCCGAACTACAATTTCTACACCCTGTACATCAAAAACTAGTTATAGGATGGAGTTAGGCTAGGGGACACTTTTTTCAGAAGTTTGAATAGTACAACATGATATGAAAAATTTAGAACATTTTATCGAGTACCATTTCTACATAAGGAAAAGCGGGGTCTTTTCAAAATTTGCAAAAAAAATAGATCAACTTTTAAAATAGCAATTTATGTCAACCAATTATTAGAAGTAAACTCAGAAATTAGGGTCCAGAGTCTCTAATTATTTATAACCAAGATACAGTAATTTATCTATTTTGCACATCTATTAATCCTAATCCAATCCTAATCGCTATTTTTAAGGATATTAAATAATAACGCCCACCCAAATTATAGAAACTTCTCATGGATACAAAAAAAAATGCAAATTATTAACGATTCAGAATTTGCATATTTATGCAGGTGATGAAGAACTAGTTCAAGCAGAAAAACCCATCTCGCTATACATACTTACATATAGTAAATCAATAATTGACATTTTTTTAATTACCCTAATTTCTATTTTTCTTGAATTAAAAAAAGGGATAATTTAGTATAACTATGCATAAACGTATAAAGTTATCATCCTAATATCATGCAAAAATCATGAGCGGTTTTAAAGTAATAACCAATCATAAAAATTATGGGACATCCGGCATAATCTAGAACCTTTTTTAGCCTAAGGTGTCAAGGCGGACAAAGGAAAGGAAAAAGGAATATATATTAGGTATTTTTTAATTTTTTTTGCCAGCTACGGCGGTGAGAGGAAGTTCTTAGGAGTTTTTTCTTTTGAACAGAGAACGACCGTAAAGGTACTAGACTGGAAAAGTAAGCACATAAACTGCTAATTGTCTATAAAATGCCAGTGCTAAAACTATTAATCATTACTCACTAATTAATGGGATGTACACAGTTAAATAAATCTTTTATGACTACTTGCTTAAAGAACTCCAATGAATGAGTACCTGCCTACCTACCTACATTTTATGTGACCAACTACAAATCACGTTTACAACACTTAATATACCATTTTACTCATATATGCATGTCAATTTATTAATTATATTAAAATCCGTTAACCATATGGCAGATTCTTATTGTCATGAATGTTAAAGAAACAAAATTTATAATTAAATAGTTTATTTGTAACAAAATTGAATCATTAATGAACATTTTGTACGAGATCATTTTGTTGTGCTAATGAAGGACATTGTGTGAAGATCAAACTATTAAAAAATATTGTTTACTACTAAGGACAGTACCGATATTTTATATCTAGTTTAGTCTGTACAACACATGCATTAATATAAATGTAAACTAAGTCCATGTAGAAGCACAATTTTTTTATTATATTACCGCTTTCCAGGAACAGTGTCTCCATTTAACCAATCACTATCAGATCCTGCTCCGGAAATACCTTCATTAGCACAGCTTTCTCCCATTGTGTATAAACATTGCAACCTTCTTAACAAACTCCTTTTTCCCGGACTATTGCCTCCATTAATCCAGTCACTATCTGAACCTGTTCCAGCAGCAGCAGCACCATTAGCGCTACTGTCGTCTAAAAGATTCATTCGGACGCTTCTTTTTCCTGGACTGTTGCCTCCGTTTATCCAGTCACTATCTGAACCTGTTCCAGCAGCAGCAGCACCATTAGCGCTACTGTCGTCTAAAAGATTCATTCGGACGCTTCTTTTTCCTGGACTGTTGCCTCCGTTTATCCAGTCACTATCTGAACCTGTTCCAGCAGCAGCAGCACCATTAGCGCTACTGTCATCTAAAAGATTCATTCGGACGCTTCTTTTTCCTGGACTGTTGCCTCCGTTTATCCAGTCACTATCTGAACCTGTTCCAGCAGCAGCTGCACCATTAGCGCTACTGTCGTCTAAAAGATTCATTCGGACGCTTCTTTTTCCCGGACTGTTTCCTCCGTTGATCCAGTCACTATCTGAACCTGTTCCAGCAGCAGCAGCACCATTAGCGCTACTGTCGTCTAAAAGATTCATTCGGACGCTTCTTTTTCCCGGACTGTTACCTCCGTTTATCCAGTCACTATCTGAACCTGTTCCAGCAGCAGCGGCACCATTAGCGCTACTGTCGTCTAAAAGATTCATTCGGACGCTTCTTTTTCCTGGACTATTGCCTCCGTATATCCAATCATTGTCTGAACCTGCCCCAGGAACGAATCCATTAGCGCTACTGTCATCGAAGAGATTCATCCGTTTTCCAGGGTTGGTACTGTCTCCATTCATCCAATCACTATCCGCACCAGCAGAAGGTACTTCGCCGTTGACCGAACTATCACCAAAGGTTTTTAATTTTAGGCTTCTCTTTCCAGGGTTAGTGTCTCCACCGTTTAACCAAGCGTTGTCCGAGCCTGATCCGGGAATTCCTCCGTTGGCACAGCTTTCGCCCATAGTGTATAAGCAACTTCTTTTACCTGGGCTGTTGCCTCCGTTTATCCAGTCATTATCTGAGCCTGATCCAGAAATAGCTGCATTGGCGCTGCTATCATCTAATAGGTTCATTCCAAAGCGTCTTTTTCCCGGTGTGTATTTAGCGTTTCTGAGCCATTCGTTTTCTGAAGCTAAACTGTTGAAATTCTTGTTTGTTCTATCATCTAATAGGTTGAGATATCTTTTGGCGAGATTATTCAAATTGCGAAACCTAGGGTGGTTTCTAAGAATCGATTTATGTGAAATTTGACGCATGTAGACTTCGTGAGCTGCAAAACTCAGAAGAAGAGGAACTGCCATAAACCACTGCATCTTTCTGAAACGAAATAAAATTAGGGATTAAACAGCTTGAAAGTTAGCTAGGTATCAAGGTTGGCGTTCGCCTATACAAATCTGCCGTATATGCAAATGATACTTTTAACGTAGCTTTCAGGAAAAATATACTTCCTGGTACTAAATTTAATATTGAACACCGTTTACGAAATGTGCCTGGTGGTTGTAAGGACGTTTTAAGGAACGGAGTATTTTAAAAATACTCAAAAAGTTACTTTGATATTTAGATTCAGTGACTTACCTACGAATTTTCTTCAAAAAACATAGGAGTTACACGTTAACACAGGAAAGTAATGAAACACATCACACTTCAAAATAATGTTTAGTTCTCCTGAAAGCTAGGTTTAAAATAATTTAGATTTTTTTATGAGAAACACAATTATTACATACTTTGTAATATATCGCATGACATTGCGGAAAGTTACAATATTAAAAATATTTTTGACGCCAATTCCCGAAATTGTCCGGATAAACGGTTCCCGAGAAATGGTCAGACATCGCATGCCAAAATATAATATATCCTCTCGAGGTATATAAATATTTTTTCTTTTGTCAGTTATAGACATATTGTGGGCATCTTTATACAAGAAATAATACACAAAATATGTACCACATACTCATATAAAGAAGGATAAACAGATTTTGTGGTATTATTAGTGGGATAAATGACCAGACGAAAAAACAAAAAATAAATAAACATAATTGTTTACTTTAATTGTACTTACCTAGGTAATAGTTGGCACAAATGAAATAGAAATATATTTGAATTTCTTTCTTTTATAGGTGCTTATTTTATCAGCAAAAATTTTATTATTCGGTTAGGTAAATTAATTTGGTGGACCATATGGCGAATATATAATTAATGATAAATTTTCGTGGGATGCCTTTATTGTACATATTTTTATATACACAGTAACATTATTTAATAATAATATTGATATTTTTCTTTCCGGTTTACCTACTATTTATTATTATTGATTCGCTAAATACGTTTTTTATTACTTTTATACGCATTTGATTCTTTTATCATTTTTGGAAGCATTTGTTTACTTAGCACAGAACATGAATAATAAGAGGCTGGGTAAATGTATATATTATGTAGTTATCTATTATATTTAAACATGTCAAATTTATATGCAATATTTTTTAATACACCCATTATTTTTAATATTAAAACTAATAAGATCAACCATTAATTTCACTGCAATCTTAAATACTACGGTGTCCATTTCAAAGCTAAAGTATAATAATACCTATACCGGGTGTTCAAATTAAAGTGTATTAAAGTGTTACAGTTAAATACCGCCTTTTATAAAAAAACGTTTTAGACGAAAGTTTTATATATGTTTGGGGTAAACATCATTTTGGCTAAAATCTTTTTTTTATAGCTAACCATAATATGGCCAACTTTTTTTCACGCAGCGAAATTTTCAAGTAGGTGTTACTCAATAAGTAAAAGTCCAATAAAAAAATGTTTCCCTTAAAAGTTTCTTATTTTTTATGAACTTTAAGAATATGTAAAAAAATAATGGGGTTCCAATTTGAAATAAAAAAGTCCACCTCGATACGGCCATATTATGGTCAGCTATAAAAAATGAATTTCGCCAAAATGTTTCCCCCAAAAAACTATAAAACTTTTGTCTGAAACTTTTTTTTTATAAAATGCATATTTTCGGCGGTATTTAACTGTAACACTTTAATTTGAATACCCGGTATATGCACTTGAAAGAATTATGAAGAAAAACTTATATCGAAACGATTCAAACTGAAAATTATTCAAATTATTATTGGCTCAACTATTGCAATATCCAGAAGCAAAGTAAGCATATTATGAAGCATTAAGCAAACACCCTCAGAGCGTGGGAGATAAAAAAGTAGATAGAAAGAATTACCAACAAGAAAGCGAGCATTATAAATAAAATAATAAAGTACAGATCGACAGGAATAGTAAAAGCCGCAAGATACGCCAACATTAAGGGGTGTCTTCATTAGTATAGTAAATAGGTTAGTAACTTGCAAGACAGTTACTAATACTATGTTACCTGCATACTAACTTACATGCTCCAGTACTTGTACTAGCAGACTGGCTAGGAAATAGGAAAGTAAATAGCTTTCCTCCACTACAGTAAAAATATTGTCGATGCTACTATAATAACATTAATAAACTCTATACACGCCGAGGTGACCGAAAGGAGAAACAATTAAATTTTTTGAACTTTATATTGAACATGAGTATCTATGGGACATTACAAAACCTATCTATTGTCAATAATCAAATGCAATTAGCAGCGCTACAGGAAATTGTTGGTGAAATGGCCATTGATGGCTTAGCAGTAGCTGATCCAAGGACTAAAATTAAAAATTTGCAAAAGTTAAATAAAATTAAAAAATCAATTAAATCTGTAATGGACGTGGGATGACGTGTACTCCATGAAATTGTTTAAAATTCTACCACAGCGAAAAGCCATCCTTTTCTCAAAACTGCTACTAGTACTAGTGTTGTGTGTAAGCGCCTACTAATATTGTGTTGATGTTATCGATGTTTTGTGGAAGACTTTTGGGTTTTATTAATCAAATTGACAAAATTACTTTTTTTTAAACATTAGTATAACAACTACTTATTTTGGAGTAAGTGTATACTCGTATCATAAATGTAAAGACTAAATAAATTATATAATGATTACTTCAACACCTTCCCTCATTAAATTGAGTTTTCATTTCAGTTTAGTCCTAAATCGTGACATAACATCTGTAGTCTTGGTCTGAATAGTGGTTTGATCATCATCTTCCTGAGCTATTTCGTCCTCTTCAATATCTGCAATATCGTTTAATGTGCTTTCTTTTCTGTATTCATCATTTGTTTCTGTATTTCTTTCCTCAACTACTCTTTCTGATAAAGCAAAAGAAAAGTCATTTACCCTGTAGTTAAGAGGCCGTTCATAGAAAGTGGCATCTCATGACCTGACTAGTTTCTTATTTTCTGTACACCAAACTCTGTATCCGTCGTCATTATCGTATCCGATCAATATTCCCTTAATTGCTTTCTTGTCTAACTTCTTCCTAGACTGTTTGGAAATATGTGCATAGCAAGTATTTCCTGTGAAACGTAGGTGCTTCAGGTTACCATCCTTTCCTGATTTTCCTGTCCTATTTAGTAGGTAGGCGGCTGTGGTTATAATATTGGCCCAAAGAGACTGAGGCAGTTCAGCTCCTGAATACATTATGGTTCGTTCCATTTCAACGATGGATCTGTTGTCTCTTTCTGTACACCCGTTTTGTTCTGATGTGAAGGGCATTACCAGTCTCTGTCTGACTACGTTCTGATGGAGGATTTCTCTAATTTTCTCGTTGTCGAACTCTCCACCGTTGCCACTCAAAATCTCTTTGACGACATATCCGGTAGCTTTTGTCTCTGTAAGCATGATTTTGAGCTTCTCAGGTACCTCTGATTTTTCTTTGATTGGAAAAATATATCTGAATCTGCTGTAATCGTCTTTGAAGAGAACATAATATCGAAAATGAGCAAACATCGGTATGGATCCGCTCTCCAGGTACCGTTGACCTTTCTCTTACTTCATCCAAATTTCTGTCGATGTGCTTTACCGAAGATACACCCTTCGCACAGTTCGCTATCCAACGCGACTCTTATCCCAAGTTCTCTATAGATTACTTCTTTCACGTGCTTTTTGTTCTGGTGATCTAATCTCTCGTGATACAACTGTAATAGATTATCAGTAGCGACGGAGGTTACTTGAACTGTATTAGGACTACTATTTTTGACATGAAGCTTGAATAATCCACCAAAGTGATTCCTGGTTCCCACGAGGAGTACTTTCTCATCTAAGACAAACCTATATTCTTCAGCTTTCGAGAGAAAATTACTTTCTGGGTGTTTGTCTTGAGCAAACAAGACGGATAACAAGTTTTTCTTAATGGAAGGTACTTACCATACATCTGAGAGCTTGTGCTTTTTCCACTGGTCATTGACTTGTGCCTCAATCGATAAACTACCTTTCCCAATAGCTTCTACAGTCTCCATTAGCGGTTGTCACCTTGTGGCCTTCTCCGAAGTACTCGAACGATTTATACAAGTCACGTCTGTTAATGATGAGATTTGTAGCCCCGTTATCGACAAACCAGCTCTCTGAATCACATTCAATGGTAAGAACGATATCGGAACAGGCATATAACGTTACGTTTGTATCAGTAGCGTTTTCTACTGCGTTTCCGTTGGCGGTCGTATTGGGTTTTGGTGGTTTTCCGCCAGCTTTCCACTTTGTGCACTGTTTGACTCTATGTCTAGCTTTTTTGCAATAATGGCAGAATATATTCTTGGTTGATTTACGTGCGCTGAATCTTCTTGTGCTAACTTCTTGGATAATTTCACTTTTGTTTGATAGTACCTTTCCGTATGCACTTATTTGATATGTGAAATTATCAATGGTTTTATCGGACTTCGACATTAGCATCCAGCTGGTTTTAAAGGGAAACTATTCCTCTGGTAATGTGGCCAGAATCTTGCAGATCAGTAGCATTTCGGGCAAGTCACAAGCGCAGGAGATGCTATTTTATCGTTAAGAATTTCAGATTGTAATTCATTCCACAGGTTTTTCAGTTTGGACATGTGAGTTACAATATCGTCTTCCAATTGTTTCCGGTAGTTGAAGAATTCAATGCACCTATCGTACATTTTATCCTCTGTTCTGGCATCAAATAGTGTGTGGAGTTCCAGCCATACGTCTCTTGCGGTAGAATATCTCATTACCTTCTGTAATGTTTCTTCCGTCATGTTCGTGGTAAAGTCTGCTTTTATGAATATTTCGAGTTCTTTCTCAAATATTTGTTTTTGTGCTGGAGTATCATCAGAAGTCACAGGTTTTTTTAATTTACCTTCAAGGACATCAGTGACGTGAGGACTTCTCTCAGTAGTATGCACATTTTGTATTTCCAGGTGGACCCATTACTTTTTCCTTCCAATAGTCCTACTTGGATTCGCAATGTTCCGTTTGCAACATCCATATTTAAAAAAAAAAATTTGCAGAATTTGAGTTTTTCTTAAAAAAAATTAATGAATTCGTTAAGATAGAGCGTTAAGCTTTATTCATACTTTAATCCAGCGAGACTTTTCATCAAAGAACAAAAGCGACGATATTTTAAGAAATAAAAAAATTTAATTTTTCCTTTTGATAAGTACGCACATATGAACTACAAAGTGTCAAAAATCACATCGATGTAGGTCTACGTACCATAACAGGAGAAAGGAGTTTCTCAATATTAAAACGTACTACAGTCACACAAAATCGACTTTGTGGTCTTGCTATTATTGCAATAGAACACGCGAAATAATGCGAGAAAACCGATATTACAGAAATCATAATACAATTTGTTGAAATTAAAGTTAGAAAAAAAATTTGTTAGATGTTTTTTTTTTGACTGACTCAATTT